AGTTAGAACCTGGCAGAACCTATTCTGCCTTAGGCAAAAGAACAGAGTTTTTATATCTTTTAGAACTCTATGTAAGAATGAATAATATTTTGTATCAATAGATCTGTGCAGTGTTCATTTTTCACATGTGCAAATATGTACAGATCCAATTAAAATTTTAAATAAAGCAATTTGATTGGATCTGTATATGTGTGCACACTTTTGCATACGTAAAAAATAAACACTGGGTCTGTGTCTGTGCTAACAGGTCTGTACCAATAGGTTTGTACCAACAGGTCTGTGTCAATGGATCTGTACCAACAGATCCTACATCACAGGGGTGACAGATTATTATTCATCACCTTCTATAGTTATATATCTTTAAATCTTAATAACTCATTAACTATTAACCTGATTGACAAATAGTAAAAACTATACTAAGGAAATTGATATCAAGGATTCTATTGGTGAAATCAGATTTGTACTACAATTAGAAGTTATACTGAGTTACTTATTAAAAATTTAAAAAATACTAATATACTGCTAATATAACAATATGAATAATAAGTTATATCTTGGTTAAGTAAGAGATAATGAGCCAGTTATGACCAGAGAGTTTAAATAAATAATCCCCTAGTTGGGTTGTAGGTATGGTAGCTAGTGTGAAATCTTGGGCAGACTACTTAAATAGGCAACCAAAAGTTGCAGGTATGGCTAGTTGTACTCTTGCTTGTAAGAGCCAGAAAGCTTAAATAGATAATCTTCTAGTTAGATTGCAAGTATAGTGGCTAGTATAGAACTTGAGCAGACCACTTAAATAGACAACCAAAAGTTGTACATGTGGCTAGTTGTACCCTCATCATAATTGTAAACATTGTTAATTATCTAATAAAAAGCCCCCAGCTATAGAGATCACCTTAATACCAAAAAAAAAATAAAAAATTTGATAGATTATCACTGAACATCGGGTTGCCCACCATGCTTCTTTTAGGGGTAACCTGATTTAAAAAAGATCATGTGTATCTGCTTTTTCCCAAAATCTAGGGGAAACATGCAGTTATTGGTTTAAAATACCAGCTCTAGTCACGTGATACATGTCCAATCAATATAACAGATCGACACGAACCATCCCGACAAGATCGACAAGATGGAAATCTTGTAAAAATAAAATGTAAAAGCTTATTTGTTTCCGTTAATATTATGAACACTAACTATTTTACTAGTATGGAAAACAAACAGGCTCCCTTTGTTTTATCATCAGCAGATCTTCGGATCTGCTTTACGCAGCGTTGAAAGACCGCTACTGGTCAGGATACACGTGAGAGATGAGAGGAACCTGTTGCCAGTAGCATGTTTTCCATATTGATTATATATGCAGTTTTAGTTCGAGTACCCTTTATAAATTGCTACCGGATCTGTTTGGATCTTTTTTGACTAAAATATTGAAATAGAAGCATACGTCAAGTTTGTTTTTGATTGGTTGTTTATTTCTATTGTATTATACTGTGTTTTCTATATTGTTTATAATAGAATGCCTTGACCTAAAATATGAAAAAATTTATTGTTCTAATTAAAGCAATTTCTTCATATCGATATTATCGCTTGGGATCCACCAATGATCTGTCAGCATAGATATGTACCACAAAGTTATTACAGCAAAGGTTTGTTTTTTAATGAAACAATCAATATTCCTGTATTCTTTTCGATTTAAAAGTTTGAGCAGGTTATAAAACGTGTAGATGATCGAAATTATCAATCGGTTATAAAAGGAGTACAAGAAATAACGTGAAAACTAAGAATAGAATTCAGGACGAACCCCCAAATAGTTTTCGGAAGCAAATAATTTATATCACGAATTTTTAAATCTCCCGAAATTTCTTATATATATATAACAAAAAATTGACTACCGTACAGTGTTATAAATTCAAAAAATTTTTATTGGCGCAAATGCAAAAAAAAATATGCACAAAGAAAAATTTATACGCGCGTTATATATACGGGGAGCACTGATATATGCGCAAATTTAAATCTATGTGCGCTGCGCCTACAGCGCCGATCCAATTTACATCACTGCTACCGTATTGTCGCGAAATAACGCGCAGGGGTGAAATTACAAATTACGGCCTAAATTAAGCTTAATTTGGGCCAAACCTCTAAATAACGCCCATGCCCGTTATTTCGCGACAATACGGGTAAGTCAATTTTTTAAAAAATAGTCGGCTAAGTCGACCTATTTATTGGCTAATGCCAAATCGACTACGATAATTAATTTTATAATAAAATTTTAAATTGGCCACACTATACAGTATATAAAATTAAAATTCAAATATGGCCACTAAAAATTTTATTTGTTGGGACTAGGGTAAAAATCCTCGATATAGCGAGTTTACTAATAGGCTCGATATAGTGAAGAAAATCTTACACCCGATCACTTCACTATAACGAGTGACTTTATCAATATTTGATTTATCATTTTTTTGGTATATATATATATATATTGTATATATTAAATTGGATTAACAAATAACTAGCAACTTAGACATTAAATTTACCAGGTAATTTGGGGTATAGTACTTTCATTTAAATATTTAAAATAACTGTTATTAAAATTCGATTGGCTGCAATATTATTATCATGTAACAGGTAATGAATGAGGTGAAAAATATATTTAATGGTGGTTCTTGCATTTATATTCGCTTATATAAATTATAAGTGTCTTGCATAATAATTTACATGTTTTTGAAACTTTGAAGAATAAGTAAACATATATGTAAATTACATCAAAGTTTACGACCGTAGAACAGTACATCCAATATCAGATATGTTAATTTTTTAATTACGACTTTCGTAACAGTATGAACGATTTGGAGCCAAATAGTGGTTACAAGTGGTATGGTAAGGTAATGTTAACGTAAATAAAATGGGGGGCATCATCAATCAACTACAGTATTTCTAATAAGGATGCGTGTTAATCGGACACTATTTTGAGACCGTATGTCAAAATAACGTTCTTCGCTTATACAATATTCTTACAACTTAAATCTATGCATCTTAGAATATGATACGAGACAGTTAGATAAACTCATATTTTATACTATAGTTAAATAAATCTCATTGAGACGCAGATACAGTATTAATTTGATGCACAACATACACGAATAAAAAAATTCAACTAATTAAATATCATGTAAAATCATATACTTTCGTATTAAATTTTTTTAAGCAAAAATTTTATTTCATTTATTATTTAATATATTACAGTATTATATTATATAATAAACTTTATTTATCGTTAAACCATTTTTGGGAAGGCTCGAGAAAGTGTTTATCGGTACACGAAAGTTATCCTAATTTTTTATAAAACTTCTTAGAAGCTTGTGTTATCGTGCCAATAAACACTCTCGCGGTAACCCCAGCACTATTTGTAATAAGAATCTCCCGACTAGATGTAGGTTGTTCGTATAACACACGCTTTACTAATTCGCCAAATAACTTCCGCGTGTGAGCCAGGTATGAATCGTCCAGCATTCCCCGTGTATTCTGTATCCTCTCTCATGAACCTTTTTGCTGATAATGTCACAAGAAAGGTACGTAACCGGGAAATGGTAGATCTCGAACAGGGGAGATACAAAAAGATACAATGCCTGCGAAAGAACAATAGTAAATTTATATACAGCAAAAGCATCCACGTGATTTGAGAATCACAATCATGTAATTATATTATTGACTTGCAAATTCAAATGTACTGTACCTTGCAAGTAGAAAAGCATGTCTTTACTAATTTATAATATTTATAATTCAATTAACTAATTTCTTGTATATATAAACTTAATAATCTTGCATATGTTGTGCATCAAAATTATTTTTTTTTAAAAATAATAGAAATTGTATTTGTTAGCAATTCTTACTCGTTTTATTAAAGAATATTAGAATCCAAAAATATTCTTTTTTTATATAAATCGGACCATAAAGTACAGTATAAAGTTCATGGGATTAAGGAAATGATATATGCATGTATATAATTGTGATTTTAGGAGTTTTTAAATTACATATTACACGATTGAAATCTTCCTTTAAAATCAAAAGTTTTAAGTGTGTGAAAACATCGTACATATACACAAAAATCGTTATCACACATAATATTGCATCGTGAAAGGCAAAAGTACTTTGTAAAAGTAAATGCAACTAACTTGTAAGAATTTGATTTACGAGATTGCTAAGTATTTAACCTTTGCGAGATTCTCTTTAATACAGGGTATATTAGCTATAAAATGTGTGTACAAATTAGCCAAAAAAAATCAATTATATTTTTCACTAATTTAAAGGTCTTTTAGAATTTGTAATCTATAATATATAGTTATTGGGCGCGTAGCGACCAATAAATCTAATTATGGTTTTAACCATTTATAGTTTTAAAAATTATACCTACTAAATAACTTCAAATTTTCATTTCAACTTAAAAATTGAGAAGATTCCATTCTTACAACATTAACAAAGCTTATAAATAATTCTTTGAATTCGAATACGTATTAATAATATTATGAAGGTTATAAAGAAAAGAAAAGGAAAATACTTTTTTGAAAATAAAAAGAATACAAAGTAATTTAAATCACTTGTAAAATTCGTAATTTTATTAATGAAATTGTACTTGGATTTATTAGAATTCTTTAATTGCACAAATTATTTTGGCTGATTAATGCACCACCAATCTAGTACACATTCAGGGAGTGCACTTATAAAACTATTTACATTTTTTTCAAATTTTAAATTACGGTATTTTTGAATTATCTATAAATTTTTTTTTTATAAATTTTTTTTTAAATTATTTAAATTTTTTTTTTTAAACCAAAAATCTATAATAAGGTATTTTAAAGTATAGTAATGTAATGTAGTAGGTAGATTATAATGCTTCAAGTAATTAAGTATAAAGTTCGAATTTTATCAATTTGTAAATTTTGAATAATAGTCGTGTAACATTATTTTATTAAAAATTGAAAAAAAGAACCATGCCACCAATCCTCTTAACGTAAGCCATGAGCATCCTTGGCCGGAAGTGGTGATGCGCCCAATCCAAGGTGAGTAGGACGCGCTTTTGGCTCACGCAATTCAATGGATCTATTCAAAGTATTTTGGTTAGTTATGAAACAATATATTAAAAATATTATAAAGACTATGAGAAATTATACATACTTTATTTTCTGATTTTTTCCAATTGTCATCCCTGGTTTCCATCCCATTCCTCTAAGCATTGCTGCTCCGAAATCTTCTATTGGAACACTATCATAATCAATATCGGCCTGAAATGTTTTAAGCATTAGTAAGAAATGTATTACTATATATCATAAATTATTCATAGAAATCGAAATATTATTTACTTCATCTGGTAAACCTTCTACTTCACGCCGAAATGCTTCCAAATCTAACGCTTTTTCTTTTCTAGATTCGAGATTTTTGTTTTTCCCTACTTGCAATACGAGTGTTTGTTCTGTCTGCTCAATATCACTTTCAGTTTTTGGACCTAAATTAAATATGTCAATTAAATTTAAAAAAAAAATATGCTTAATGAACCTAGTCAAGTGGCGAATGAAGAACTGACCCTTTAAAATTTCTGCTAAAGCCTGCTGTTTAAGATACTGTTCGGAATTATCAGATGTTTTAACACTTGTAGTTTTCACTTTGTCACTTTCTTTATTTTCCGCCAAGTCCTGCTGCTTTAGCGACTGCGCGGAATTATCTAGTGTTTTAACGTTTGTGGTTTTCACTTTAGCACTTTCTTTAGAGCGTGCTGCTGCGAGTGCCTGACTTCGTTCTAACCAATTTGCGTTCTTCATTGCTGGAATTATTATTGGTTGATCAGTTCTTTCTTTTGGGTTCAGGCTAAGACGTTTATTCATTGAAAATTAAGATGATCAGATTTTGCTGGCAATTTATCAAGCTTAAGAGCCATTAATTGAAATAATAAATTAGTGAGCATAAAGAACTAACCTTTGGATCTGATTGTCTTCAAAGCCTGTTACAAGTTCAATCGTCGGCTCATTTATGTTATTGTCGGTGATGCGTCGCTTTTTATACGGTTCTGAAGCAAAAAGAGAGAGATTTCTTTTTTCTAATTTCTTATTTTTGGTTTTATTAGACTGAATCTGCATTGAGAAACCACTACTAGGAACAGCATCTTTTGATGATTTAGTGGAATTGGTTTTATCTAGCGACATCGTATAGTATTTTCGTCAAGTAAAAGTTGAGTTTTCGTACGATTGATAAACACTTCTAGAGACTATACATACGTAGATGCCTATTTTTAGAATATATTTGTAGATGTTACACCGTAAAAACGCTTCTTAAAGTACCCGGGGTAATTCAGTAATTTATATTCTATACGCACTAACTATTCAAGGTTGGTCAAATTCGCTAGTCGACTATGTAACAAATTTAAAGAGTTATTGTTCAAAAACTGTCCATTAAATAAAAAAGGTGGCTACCGTATCCCTCAGAATTTTTTTTTTTTTATAATTTGGGCAAAGATATTTTAGTAATCATCTAACCAAATTTAATTACAGCATACAGGATTACTAATTTTGAAGTACATACAGTATCATATATATATATAGTATATATATACAGTATATATACAAGTGAATCTTATAAAAAAATTGCCGGGTCCAAAACCTTTCTTATATCGAGTTTTTCTTATATCAAGAGCTTTTTATTATACTATTATACAGTAGAATTTTAATTAGGACTTGCAAATCTTATATCGAGAGTTTCTTATATCGAAGGTTTCTTATATCGTGAGTTACTTGTTGTATATAGTAATTATATATTTAATCATTATCAAATTTTAAATGGCCGGATAAAATTTGATACGTAGTAGACCCGAGTGCAAATTGCAGAATCTTTTTTAATTAAAAGCGGTTCTTTTTATAAATTTAGACTACTTGTTATATATAAACGCAGAGTGTATATGCAGCCATATGTACTATATCCGGGGTTTTAAAGTTGGTGGAATGTGACAGACTCGGGTTTTGTATCCGGCTATTTACATAGTTTTTTAATAGATTAATAAAATTAAGTACTGTATAGTATATTTGCTACAGTATATACTATATATACTTTAGATCTTTAATATATAGATTTAGAATTTAATTTTTTAAAAATAAAATAGTTAAATTTTTATTTTTATATTATTAGTATATAATTATTTTTAATTAGCTAAAATAAAATACTTATAACTTTAGTTATATATTGTAATATATATGTTGTCTTTTATATTGGTTACTATATATCTAGCTTGCATAACTTCACAAGATATAGAAATTTCCTGGTTAAGTATTAGAAAACCAACATTATTTAAATCTTCTAGGTGGCTAATACTTTGAAAATTACCCAAATCTGGTTACCCAAATCTTTAACATTTTATTCTCAAATCTTGAATATATAAGATATATTTTTATTTAAAAAGTATTACAAGTTAGTTATTTAAAGTTATATTTTGTGTTTGTGTTTATGTTTTTAAGGCCACCCCAATTTGGGGGTGAGTCAATAGAAACGCACCAAATCTTTTTTAATGAAATTTTTTTAAATTTTAAACAAATATAACTTAACA